GTTGCTACGTTGCTAACTAATATAAGAATAAATATCATTTTTGGTCCCTAACAAAAAATCTGGTCCCCACTTTAGTCTATTATAAAAAAATTAGTCACCTGATCCCTATGAAATTCAAAGTGGACCTATTTTGGTCTTTTTGAGGGACTAATGTAGGTCTTTTTTGAATTTGTGAGGAACCATGATTTTAACTAAATTGATCCACTTTAAATTTTTTAGGGACCTCGAGACTAATTTTTTGTAAGGAACTAAAATGGGAACCATGTTTTTTATTAGGAACTTAAAAGGATGTTTACTTCTAATATATATATTGAACCAAGAGACAAATAAAGACCTATAACCAAAAAAAAAAGAAAAAAAAAACTGAAATGAAAATTGTTATGACCGCAGTGGGTCCGCCACTGATATGAATCCTATACTCTTTTATATATAAAAAAATAATTTTATTTCCTATAATACGATGAACGTTAAAGCCATAAAAAAAATTTTGAGGGTAAGTCGTTGATTCTAAATATACTCTTTTTATTTATTTTTGTTCATTATAAATATTAAAGCCATAGTTAAGTACTACAAGTTTGTTCATTCTAAATATACGCTTTTTATTTATTTATGTTAAATTTTTCATATACTTATAATTAAGAGATTCTAAGTCATTGATTAAAAAGATTAAAAAAAGGATATCTTAACTTCAGAATAAGATTAAAAAGTCTTATTTCTCAATTTAACCGTTGATTTTCGTAAATCATTATATATAATTCAATAAATTAATTACTTTATAATAAATAAATAATTAATCATTATAGCTCGATAAATTACAATTGTTGGAAAGACGAAAAACAACAATTGAGATGAGGAGTAAAACTTGTCAAAAGATCTCGACTCTTACAAAGTTATTTTGATTGTATTTATGAATAAAACTAACACAAGATCACGAAATTCAAATCGTCAATTTTTCGTTACAAAACAAATTCCCATGCATGATAGCATGTTAATTAATTAGAATCTTACAATAAAAAAGGCACGCGACTTTTTTTTTTTTTTTTTGATAACAAGGCACGCGACTTTAATTTTGTTAGAAATATGATGACCAAACTATAAGCAGCTAGCTTGCTACGTTTAGACTTATTAACCACACCTAGCCAAAATTTGGTTAACAAATGTAAGTTGCTGCCAAAATATGAAATAAATGCCTATGTGAGATGTAATCGTATCAGAGAAGGTTGATTTAAATTGTTTACGACTATGTTCAATAATCATAAAAAAAATAAAAAATTATATAGCCAACTCTCACGTCATAACTTCTACTTATCGTATATAATTTCGTAGCCAGATGTGACAGCCAAGTGTACACTTGCCCGAATAGCAATATTCAGAACTTTTGAAGGGACAAATACGTTTTTCGAAATATTCAACTTATTTAATATTTTGCTCAAATATATTATCAGATTAATGTAGGAAATAAACATCAAGTGTCTACATATATAGTCTAATAATATGTATAGTGTCAGGTGTGCGAGTATATGTGCAGACACATAATGCGCGTCTTATTACATTAATTTAGTAATACATTTGACAAAAATTAAACAGATGAAATATTTCAAAAAATGCATTTGTCAGATAAAAAAAACCCAATATTCAGCGTTTATCATTTTTGTCAAACAATTAATTCCTTCTCTTTTTGGTTTTTCTAATCCATCGATATCGGTTTAGAGTATATTAGTCTGAATCATGTTTGGGATTAGGATAACGTGTTTGATGAATAGCAGACACAGTTGCAAAAAATTAAAGTAACTTAATTTAATAAAGAAAATGTTTGCTTGAACATTAATTTATTCCATTTTTTTTTTATATCTCAGACCAAAACGGAAAGGATTGTGTCACTTACACATACTCAATAGTTAAGATCTGTTGGTGTAGGAGCCATAAACTAATGCAACTCTACAAAAGAGGAAGCTACAATTTTAGCCAAGTGTTCAAGACAAATTTTTGGCCAGCCCGTGACACTGATGTGTGTATCGTCATAGATCGTAACTCCTCACTTAGGTTGATCTTGACTTGGTATATGGCCATTATGGTTGGCACGTATGTATATGTTTATAGATTTTCAATGAAATTTTTTTTATGTATTTATCGGAATGAACATATTACCCACGCACGCGCGTGTACATAACTGCATCCGAAATGAGAATTGTTCCATGCATGGATGTTTGGGAACTGGATGATGGGCATTTGATTTGTGACAATGTCGAGTCTAATTGATATTGCGGTCTTCTACTTTCATATCAAGTCACAACATTTATCTAACAGCAGTGAATAAAAAAAATTTAAATTTCAAAATGGCAAGCTTGTGTTTGCATTAGTAATAGGACAAAGTTAAAGGACTTTGATTTTAGATGATTATTTATTTGTTTAAATTTTAAGAGAAATTTAATTATTGTTAATTATTTGGTTAAGTATGATTTGATAATGTAATTTAATTCCTTAATTTGAATAAGAAATTCATCTTCTTTTATTTGTTCCGGTGCATTATTTTGAAAGGTCTTCATTACTTGTATCTTAATTATACCCCGTTGAATTTATAATGTTCAATTAAAAGGAAGATGAACAAGAACCATCATCAAAGAAAGAAACGTTTCAAATGAAACATATCTTTGGCCCTTGCGATTGGGTCAAATTATCTCAAAAAAGAAACATGGCTTAATTAAAAGAGGGAGGCAAAGTTCCATAGTCTTTGAACTAAAACTTGTATGTAAGTCCTACTTGGAAGTTAAATGACCAGACAATTTTTCAAGGTTAAAAGGATTTCTGCAAGTGTTCAGCTAGAATTGGTACATATTGAAGTATGTGGACCAATAAATATTCAAGCCAAAAGAGGTTATAATACTTCATTATATCAATGAATACTCTGGATTTGAACATGTGAACCTAGTGCCCCGTAAGTATGAAGTTTTTGCAAAATTCCAAGAGTTTTAAGTCTGAGACAGAAAAATATGTAGGTATTCAAATCAAAATATTTTGGTCTAACTGAGATGGTGAATACCTGTTTGGAAAGTTCAGGTCTAATCTGATTCAAGAGGGGATAATTTCACAACTGTCAAACCCTAGGAATGCCTTAATTGAACAAAGTTGTAGAATGCAGAAATCAAATATTTCTAGATATGGCGAAGTCTGTGTTCAGTTATTCATCCTTATCAATATCGTTATGGGGATATGCCTAGGAGAAGACATTGTACCTTCTTAACTTGATTCCAGCAGAGTTTGTTACAAAGACACTAATAGAATAATGGAAAGGGTGCAAGCTCAGTTTAAACCATATTCAGAGTTAGGGTGCTACAACACACATCTAACAATAGAGGTCAAATAAAGATGGAATCTTATATAGAAGCGTAAATGTTTCATTGGCTACCCTAAGAGAACCTGAGGTCGAATCTTCTATAGTCCAAATGATAAGAAGGTCTTACTGAACATGCAAATGACTTTCTTAGAGGAGGACTAAATGGAAAATTATAAGCTTGTGAGTAAGGTTATTCTTGATAAAACTTATCTCAGATCAAGAATTTTCAGAATCTCTAGATGCTCCATTCTCTATTCCCTTCATTGTTGAAATAGGGGAAAAATATACCTCTAGGTGAACAAACATAGGAACCATAATTGAAAATTTAACATCATAATATATAAGTGGAAATAGTAAAAATATTAGTACCACAATGAAAAAAATAATATCAAGGAGTTGTTAACATATAATATGTGGATCCTCAAGAACTTGAAGATCCACCATTTGACCCAAAATTGGATCTACCTGTAGATGCATAATGTCTAGTGTGGTACATTCGTAGTGGGAGAGAACATTGTCAATTTGTCATCCCTCAAGTTATCTCTTGTTAGGTGAAATTGATCCTAATAGTTACGATAATGCACTAAAAGATGTTGTTAATCAAGTGTGGCTCAAAGCTATGAACCATGAGGTGGAATACTTGTATTTCAACTGTGTTCGGTCTTTGATAAAGGCACCAAGAGCGGTAAAACCCATTAGGTGTAATACTTTTCTATTATTTGCTTTATTTTATTATTAATAATAATAGTAATAATAAAAATGATATTAATACAAAGTACATAAACAATCAGAATGACAATTTATATATATATATATATATATATATATATATATATAGAAACTTAGAAGTATTCATATTCAATCTTCTCCTACCACTTTGTATTCGAAGTATGGCCACTTTGTATTGATATTCAATTTGCCCCATAAAATAACTGTTATGGCTTATATTTTATCACTATATAATATTAGAAATTTATATATATATATATATATATATATATATATATATATATTAATAATTCAAATTATGGGACGCGTAAATAAATCTATTCTAAATAAAAATAAAATAACAGTAATGAATTATGGCATTGATTTACAGACTACTCACAAATATGGAAAATTATACTCTCCTGCAATAGGAAAATTGAATTTTCATGTTATAGATACAAATTCTTGGAGTGGATCCCATCATTTAATAAAATAAAAATAAAAGGTACGTTGGCACGGTTTACTCTAGGTGTGCAGGAAGAAGAAAAATCTCCACCAATAGTAAAAAATATAACCCCCACAAGTATATATACTTTTCAAGAGTTTATATACTTCTTACGTAACATAAGAAGAGACTCATCATACTATATTCATACTGTTTTGTGTACCAATATTTTAAATTTATTTATTTACTTTTTTTTCTAATGTGACCCACCTGAACATTTATGTGTTGTAAAATTTCTCTTGATATATTGCATAAGAAGTATAAATCCTTATTTTTCAAAGTGATGTTTGAAAAAACTTTACAATGGTTCAATCCAAAAACGCCACAACTACAAACCTAGAGGTGAGGTAATGTACAAGCAAACATATTTGCAAGCTCTAAATGATGTTCTTTCTCACCTTTACATTAAAGAACAATTATATATGCTACCCAATGTCGTTGACACTTCCTCAAAAAACATTAAACCTCATTTCGGGTATATCTCTATAAAGCTTTCATTATTCAGCATTTACAGTTAAAATTATAAACATTAATTACCTTATGTTAACAATTAGTGATAAACATCAAACTCTCATATGACAATTTAACATGAAAATGTTTAAGGATCTATATATATTCATTCACCTTAAGGTGAACATCCTCAACTCTGGCGCGTCGTCAAACACGCGCCACACTTTGACGGACTTGTCCAAGCTCCCTGTGTACACCATACAACAACATCGATTACCCTCTTCTTCTTCTTCAATGGCTGCGATGCACTTAACTGGTCCAGTGTGACCCGTCAGAACCGAAAGCCACGCGTGTGCACCACTCTCCTCTCTCTTCCACACGCAAACACTCTTATCAGCCGAACCACTAAGCACAAGGTTCCCAGCAACAACAACACAAAGAACCGCAAGCTTGTGTCCTCTCAGAACCCCACCGTAACAAACACCAATATTCTTCTCTCCACGCTCCCAAAAATGCACCGCACCATCAGATAACCCGCCGTAAACCACCGTGGAGAAACGGTTCACCGCCAGAGCCGTCACCGCGCTCTCCTGCTCCAACAGAACCCGTTCCGCCACGTGCTTCGTTCTCCTCTTCCTCCCTTTCCCCTCCTCCCACTCTCTCCTCCACATCTTCACCGTGCCGTCGGCGGAGCCGGTGAACACACACCACCCCGCAGCCGCCGCCACGGCGTTCACGGCGTCGAAGTGAGCGTTTATCGATTCCAAGCATTTAAAATCATCCGTTACGCTCCAAACCTTGACCGTTTTATCCCACGAACCAGAATACAACAAGCCATGATCCTCGTCGATGCTCAAGCACGAAACGGCGTCGTAGTGCTTCACCTTAACCGCGTTTTTGTGTCGCCGAACTTTGACGCGGTCGTTGGGATTCATTGAGCTCTTAACGTAGTCTCTGAAAGTTGGCAACGTCCCTAAACGACGGTGTTTAGTTATTATTGTGCTTTTCTTCTTCTTCTTCTTGTTACTCTTCTTTTTCCAGATTCTGATCTTTCCGTCTTGATGACCGGTGAAGATTTTCTCGTTTGAAATGACTATGGCTTTGACTAAACCGCTGCTTGATTTGAAAGCATCGTAGTCTTTTAAATTCTTCCATACCCTTATGTTCTTGCTATCTGAACCTGTGTATAACAAGTCTCCTGAAACTGCCAATGAGTACACGTGTCCCTCTTTCCGCACGAGGGTCCCCACGACGCCGTTTTCGTTTTCTAACAACAAGTTGTTGTTATCAATATCATTGTGGAGCCATGGAGACTTGGTGAATGGAGAAGAGGTTGTTTGGTTGTTAAATGGTGACATCATGTACGGTGAAGCATTGTTTAAATAACGTGGACTTGCAGTCGCGGCGTTACTTGGACGTCGTTGCGGTGACGGTGATGGTGGTGATGGTTGATGTTGGTTGTTGTGTGGCGATGACGGTGGATCGGAGTGGAAGAAGGTTCCTAGTTTGGGTCTATGCATGGGTTTTGATTCTACTAACATGGTACCTCCACCTTTCATCTTAGGGGTTTTAAAGAAAAATAATTAAGGAGAGAAGGAAAAAATGGGTAGCTATATAAGGGTTTTGCTTATTTGTGCTTAAAGAAACAAACAGAGATATATTGAAGGTTGATGGAGAATGAGAGAAAGAGAACACGGGATAGGGAACACGGAAGCCTTTATATATATAGAGGGAACAGTGGTTGGAAGACACGTGTTACTTATACCAATTAACCAGGTGTGATGGTTGGTAATGGTAGTCAATGTATGAAATTAAAATGACTAAATCACGAGTATACATTATTATGGTCACGTTAAAACTCATATAAAAAGATTTGGGTTCCTGTTTGATTTCTATTTTGGAAAACAGTTTTTTAGTTTTCAGAACAAAAAAACTAAAAAATTATTTGGCAACATCTGTTTTGTAAAAAATGTTTTGAAAACTATAACTGTTTTTTTGTTTTTAAAATCAAATTTAGAGAACATGTCTGAGTTGTTTTGGTTTTCTGTTTTTGTTTTTAACTTTCAAAAAGAAAAAAATATAGAAAACAACTGTTTCCATAACTGTTTTACAAAACAGTTTTAAGAATAAAAAAACTAGAACACAATCAAACAGACCCTTGAATTCTAGAAACGAATATGAAAAGAGTAACGATGAGAAAGGATTTGGGGCTACAAGGATAAGTATACTTTATGATACACAACACTTTAAAAAATCTAACGATTCATGTCCAATGTTTTTCCACACTCTAATACGTATTGCAGAGACTTAAAAAAAGTTTTAAAAATTACCTTATTTTTAGTTCTAATTATTAGTTTTTTAGATTACGATTTCATTTTATTGAGTTTAATATAAATATTTGTGATATTTTACGTTTCTTTACAAAATTGATGGATATTATATGTTTAGCTTCATTTTTTATTAAATTATTAAATATTAAATATAATATACATTACACAAATTAAAAATATTATTTAATATCAAAATATGTCTTATCGGATCAAAATCTAATATTTTTTAGAATTAACATATCAAAATGTCATGTCATGTCGTATCCCATATCGATGTCGGTGCAACGTAAAATATAATAGCTTAGCTTAGGTGAGCTTCACACGCTACATGGGGTACGTGAGGTGAGAACTCAGAATAGAGGAGGTGGTTTGAGGTTGCTAAGTTTGACCTTTGAAATTTTGTACAACGAAGGAAGGCTTTAAGTGATTTGACCCTGTTTCTTGTCAAGACATTCATTTTGTGCACGCTAATGTTTGTATTTAGTTTTACAAATTTTCATTGACAAATTGAAAATAAAAAAATATGTGTTATATTGTGTTCTTCTTTATTTTAGCTAGTATCCAAAACAAAAGCAATATAAGAAAATAATATTAAAAATAATGTGTAAATAACATTATTGCTTTCACCAAATTAAAAATAAAATTGTTGGCATTTAGCACAGTTTGTCTTTTAGATCAACAGCTGCAATTTGATGATTAATAGGCTAATTTACAAGACAAAAAACTATACCGTGGAAATAGAGAGCGACGCAGTTGACTTTCGCCAAATGGATAGGATGGACGTCGATCCAATATTTTTCAAAGCAAATGGTACCTAATAAGTTAATTTAATTAACATGAGCATATTGTTCAGCACTATCACATTGTTTAATTTGTTGTTGTCTCTTTTTGAAATGCACTTGAGTCCTTGACAACATGATTTGCATGATTAATTTACAATCCAAATTTAAAGTGCGAGAGGGATCGAGACGATATTTCTATGTTTCATTCATTTAAACATGATTGTATAATGTGAAATGATCTCTGTTTTTTTTGTAAATTTTTAGTGATAACTAATGGTAAGTAAAAGTTAGTGAGCATAAAATCTTAAATAGCCTTTGTTTTGGATGTCCCATAACCAACCGGCTCACTAAGACAGGCCCAAACCTCCCACCGCTATCCACGTCAACCCTATTGACCAGAGACTACCAACATCTTTCTCTTTTGTCTCTCACGGGACAGTACCCCCAAGGTACACACCAAAATGTCTTACCTTGGGATACTCACTCCCTTAAATAGTCTCCTAGACCCTTCAAATAGAAATTTCCCTCCTATGGACATAGTAGTGACTGCCACCAGCATAACATAGACTGCATTGTTGATGCCACAACATTGTCAGCCCTCCATGGCACCCCCCAAGGAGTGTTGACCTGACTCACCTTCCCATGTGAGTAGGGCACCTTCTTCACTTATAAATACCCCTCCCTCATTAGATGAAGTGAGAACTTATGTGTCGTTACTCTGCAATTTCTTTAAGCCCTTATTATCACACACACACACACGGACACCCAATCTTGCAAATTCTGACCTAATTTGTAAGAACTTGCACTGTTAAATTAGGAATTTAAATAATTTAATTATGAGTTTAGGAAATAACTCCATAATTGACCTTGGATAAATATAGAAAGATTATAATAATTATCGAGAAGGTCAAATAACGTTTAAATCTCTTTTCTGATGAAAAGTGCAGATACCAATTCTGCTTCACGATATAAATGTGTACCGGTAAAGTATTTCAAACAATTATTATAAAAATACAAATATTCCTAAAAAAATATCTAGGACAAGGATATCAAGTTTGGGGTAAAAATAATGAGCAGTGATGTCAGAACTAATACCGGATATGTATAAAATGCGTACTGGTAAAGTATTTCGAACAATTATAATAAAAATATTCTAATTCCTAGAAAAATGTCTAAGCTCAAAATCTAGAGTTTGGTATAAAAATGATTAGCGAAGCTATTAGAACTAATATTGTTGATTAGTGGGCGCACAAATATAAATAGCCATTTGCCCTAAACCCTAGGTAAGTTTTTCTTATCCCAAGATTGATCCCATGGCTGCCACATTCCTCCTTCATGAAAACTTGAGCTTTCATCCCAAAGAAAGCATACTTAAGGTGGTGTTTGGTTGAAAGCTTTTTAGGGGATATCTATCTTTCTCAAGTATGGCTTTTAGAAACACCATGTTTGTTTCAAAGTTTTTCACCAAAAACCCATCTATCCAATTTGTCTGGATTTATGAGAAACATAGATATCCGCACTGTTTAGAAACCCAATTTGAAGGTGGGATTTTTCGAAAAACCGGTTATCTGGCTTTTAATGCACTGTTGATTTCATAAAGTTACATAATTTTCCCAGTAAAGTTTTTCCCCACCAAACAACTTTTTTTTACATTTTTCTAGCTATCTCATTTTATCTATCTTTCCAATCATTTCTCTATCTATCTCATTTCCCTACTATTCCAAAAAAATTTCCTCAACCAAACGCCCCCTAAGAGTTTCAGGCAACTCTTTTAATTCCACCTTTGGTACCAATGTAGCTGAGTCATCTTCTTTCTTTTCTAGTACCTCAAAGACAGTTGCTCGCTCTTCTTCTGGAGCAAGCTTCATCTAGAGCCTGCAATTCTTTTTCAAGCTCTTGATAATCACTTTTCTTTTCCATAACCACCTCTTCAAACACTTCAAGTTTAAAACAATCACTATGATCAGAGGGATTTTTCATAGCATCGAAAACATTGATAGTGATTTTCTCATCATTCATCCTCAACTCGAGCTTTCCTTATTTTACATCAATCATAGCTCGAGCTGTGGCCAAGAACGGTCTACCCAACAGAAGGGGCATTTCACCCTCTTCCTCCATGTCTAGCACGATAAAATCACCCGGGAAGATGAACTTGTCAACTTTAACAAGAACATCTTGTATGATTCCATTAGGTCTCCTCAAAGAACGGTCAGCGAGCTGTAGAGAGACCATGGTTGGCTTCAACTCAGTAATTCCCAATGACTTGCATATTGATAATGGCATCAAGTTGATGCTTGCTCCGAGATCACATAGTGCCCGGCCAACATTAGTGTTGCCTACCGCAATTGCGATGTTGAAACTCCCAGGATCTTGAAGCTTTGGTGGGAACTTCTTTTGTATGATGGCACTGCACTCTTCAGTAAGTGCTACTGTCTCACAATACTGCAACTTATGCTTTCTAGACAATAAATCTTTCATAAATTTAACATAATTAGGCATGTTAGCTAAAGCCTCAGCAAAAGGAATATTAATTTGCAGCTTTTTAAACATTTCTAAGAACCTGCCATATTGTTGCTTCTGTGCCTGTTGTTTGAGCTGTATGGGATAAAGAGGTTTCTCAAAACGAGAATAATCCATCAGTTTCTTTGGAGCTTCCACAGCTTCCTTCTTTGTTTCTATTTTGTCTTGCCTTACAGGTTCTTCTTTTTCACTCGTAGGTGCTTCTTCTTCTTTCTCATGCTGAACCAATTTTGGCTTTTTTTTAGGAGTGATTACAATTCCACTCCTAGTCACAATGGACTTGCAGTCTGCCTTTGGATTCACAATTGTATCTCCTGGGAACTGTCTTTGAGCTCTTTCAGCCAACTGCCTAGACAACTGGCCTATTTGACTCTCCAAGTTTCGGATGGAAGCATCCTGGTTCTTGTGGTAGGCTCTTGTCTCAATTATGTGATCATTGGTGGTCTTGGCCAGTTGTATCATCGCTTTCTCCAATTCGGATGGCTCTTTTCGTGGCACAGGAGGAGGTTGCAGATAGTTGTTGGATTTATAATCCAAGCCGCTCCCTTGATTCCTCCTTTGAAAATTGTTCCCTTGGCCTCCATTCTGATTTCTCTGGTAACTTTGGGTATCCTGTGGTGGCCTTGGAATGGTTCAGCTCCATTGAATGTAGTGCACTCATTAGTCTCATGTGGCTCTTTGCAGTACTCACAGTTGAATACATTAACTTTAGATGAGATTTGCATTCTATCTAGCTTGGCGTTCAGACTGGCTAGCTGTTGTGAGATCATCTTTTGCTCAGCTAGTGACGCATCATTGTTCCCCAGTTGCAGAATTCCCCTCTTGGGTTGAGTGGGCTGAACTGGATGAACTTCCGTCGAAGCATTATCATTCTGTGCCATGTAATCAATCAGTTCCAGGGTCTCAGCTGCTGTCTTCTTACCGATGGTTCCACCAGCTGCTCCATTGACAACCATCCTGGTTTTTGGTGTCATCCCATTATAGAAGACTCTGACCTTCTTCTCATCTGGAAAGTCATATTGAGGACACTTTCTGATCAGTTCTTGGAATCTGGCCCAAGATGTATAGAGAGTCTCTCCCGACTGCTGAATGAAGTTGGTGATCTCGTTCACCAACTTGTTGTACTTTTCCCGAGAAAAATGCTCAGCAAAGAACTTAGCTGCTAGATCGTCCCATGTTCGGATACTGTTAGGTGCTAGTCGGTCTAGCCATCTTAGGGTTTTTCTGGTTAAGGCAAAAGGAAACAGCCGGAGTCTGATTGCATCGTCAGACACTCCATGATGCTTGGTGGTGTCACAGATTCTCATAAATCTGTCCATGAAGTCGTGAGGATCTTCGTAATCCTCTCCACCGAAAGGGTTCTTCTCCACCAGGTTAATCAGAAACGGGTTGATGTCGAAATTGTTGGCCTCTATCTGTGGCCGGACGACACTAGAGTTCGACCTTGTGAACATAGGAGCCAGAATTGACTCCATCAACTCCGCTGCAGGTGTTGGAGGAGGCAGAGGTTGATTATTAGCTGCCATCACTGGTTCTTTGTGCGGCTTTGAACCTGAAGATTCTTCTTGCTTTCTCTGCTTGGCTTGTTTCCGATTTTCCTTTGCAGTTTTCTCGATTTCTGGATCAAACTGTAAAGAATCTTGATCTACTTTACCTCGCATAAACTACAGCAAAAAGATTAGTAACAAACAAAATCCAATAAAGAAATTCAAAAGTTTGAAATAAATTAGGTGTAGTCAATCCCCGGCAACGGCGCCAAAAACTTGTTGCGTAAAATCGGCAAGTGCACCGATCGTACCAAGTAATAAAAAGTGAGTAAGATTATCGTCCCACGAGGATTGAGGCACCAAATTTAATTTAACTATTCCTTTCTTATTGGATTTAACAAAAAAGGGTTTTTGAAGTAATTGTGTTGTGACAATTGTGAACTATTCAATATTTCGTGAACAATTCAAAGAGAAGTTGAAAACTTAAAGTAAAAGGGGTTGAGATTTGAGAAAATATTGTAAAGAAAACTATTGCAGTAAAGGACGCCAACACATTTCTGATCCCCACCTTGTAATATTGATTAATATTTATATTTAATTACCCAATTGATCAAACAATTCACCATCTATAATTAATTAGTTAAGCCTCAATCCCTTAGTGATCTTAAACTTATTAACCCTATTGGAATCCTAAGCCCTTAGAAATCCCTTTTCAAGTTAATCTTTAAGGCCAGTGAATTTTCCACGTTTGCAGTTCATATAGCCTATCCCTAGAGCATACATGAACAATTATCTTACCATTTGTCAGGAATTAGAATCCCAATATTCCTATTGAAAACCCTAACCCTCGCAATCCTAATAGAGTCGCGAATTCTAAAAGAATTATGGATGAAGAACAGAGTAAAATAAATTCAATTAAAATAATTAACCATAAACTTAACCAAAATACAAGGGGTTCACATCAAGGGTTGTGACCCTTACCACAATATAAAAAGACTAGCCAGACATATTCATGTCTGACAAAACAAAATATTCAAAAGAATTCATAAGGGCTAGAAAGATATGATTTTAAGCAATGATATGCCTCCAGCATAGATATGATTTTAAGCCAAAAAGATAAAGAATCTTGGTCAATCTTGAATAATAAAGGCTAGAATTGTTAATAATTTGATAAATCTCAATCAGATACCTTGTTACTGATTTTCTGTTGATTTTGTAAGGAAACAGGACAAAAAGAAGCCCATTTGGAAGTACCAGGCTGAAGTCCCACGCTATTAGCGTGAAACTCACGCTAGTAGTGCCATAATTAAATTTCATCCTGAGACATCCACGCTCATAGCGTGAAACACACGCTAGTTGCGCCAGACTTTCTTGCAACCCACGCTCACAGGTGGGAACCACGCTAGTTGCGTGAACTTTCAGTATGCTGAATAAAACTCCAACGCTATTAGCGTGAAACTCACGCTAGTAGCGCGGGAGGTACGGGAAAATCTTTATTCTATCTCAGGCTGAATCAGAGGAAGATTAGACCAAGATACAAGATGAAGATTTAATCAAGATTTCTAAGCACAACATAAAGTCTATAAATAGAGACTCAGACCTCAGAGAAAAACAATCTTTGGCTGGAGAGAATTCTTGGAGGCTCACGCTGGAGATCAAGATTCTGACGGAGTTGAAGACCGGAGATCATTGATCCTTCTTCTTCTTCTCTTTCTTTTTCTGTATTGCTTTATGAATTCTTTTTATTATTTTGATTTGTTTAAGCCAGCTATGTCTGGCTAGTTTGTTTTTGTAGTTGGGATCACAGACCCGATGTGAATCCTTTATATTTTCTGTATTGATATTTTATAAGTTAATTAGTTAGTTTGTTTTTTTCTACCTGGTTTAATTTTTCATATCCTGTTTAGAACTGATCACTCTAAATTATAGGGCTTTGAGGGTTAGAATTCACAATAGACATATTGGGGTTTTAATCTGGACAGGGGTAGAAGAACAATTTGTGTATGATATAGACATAGGCTTACATAGATTGCAGACTCATAATTCATTTGCTTAATGCTTAATTCAAGAGGGATTACTAAGACATTAGAATTCTGATTGAGTTAAAGGGTTGAAATCACTAAGACATTAGGGTTCAACTATTCTATAGGGAAATAATGAATTGTCTGAACAAACGAATTAATTAATTATAAAATACAATATAGGAATATAAGGAAGGATCAGAGGTGAATTGCATCCTGGCCACAGTCTTTTTACAATTTTTAATCAAATTCATTTTTCTTTCCATTCTTGATTAATTCTTGCCTGCTTTTTAATATTATTGTTTTTAAAATTCTGTTTTTAAAATTCCAACACTCAACTACTTTCACAAATCAAACCAATTTTATTTTTCAACTTAAGGGGAATAGTTAAACTATTACTTGGTGCATTAATCCTCGTGGGAACAATACTCTATTTATCATTTTATTACTTGAAACGAACGGTATACTTGCCGATATCGCAACAAGTTTTTGGCGTCGTTGCCGGGGGTTAATTACGTCAATATTAAATTTAACTTTCGATCTTTAAGATTGGATTTTTTTTTTAATTTTTTTTAATTTTTTTTTAATTTTTTTTTCTCATATTTTTTTTTTAAATTTCGGTTTTTTTAAAATTTTAAATTTTAAATTTTTTTATTTTTTATTTTTATCTCATTTTTTATTTTTTTATTTTTATAAAAAAAAAAATTGTTCTCTATGATGTACTATTACCATCATGGTTGAATTTGAAATTCCATTATATTTGGAGGAAGAATTGTTCTACATTGAAAATGCAAAACTTTATGGGGGAGAATATTCAGAGGATCCTTATGATCTAATATCCCCAGTAGCTGGAGACAAGAGGTTCGTATGGGAAAACATAAGTAAACGAGCTTCTACCCCCTTTCTTTTCTTGCCTTTATTTCTTTAGAATCTTATTTTTTCACTTTAATGGAATTGTTATTCTAATTGAATTTGCAGTGGCATAAGGATAGACGGAGCTACTGAAGACTCCATTAAGGTCCATTTGTTTCCCTTCTTTCTGAAAGGTCGAGCTAAAACGTGGTTGAAGTCTCAACCTCAACGAAGCATCACCACATGAAAGGAGATAGAATTCAGATTTCTGAGCAAATATTTTCCACCATCCAAAGCCACAAATACTAAAAAGGAGATCGACTCCTCCGCACAAAAGGAAGGAGAACATCTATATCAAGCTTGGTGTAGACTTAAGAGATTATGCAGAAAATGCCCAGTTGATGATTGGGAATTTGTTCGCATTTTATACTGCGGTATGTGCCTACTTTCAAGAATAAAATTAGATCTAGCAGATGGAATATCACTTTACACTAGGAGTTTTGATGAAGTTCTTGCGTTGATCGAGAGAGTGGTTTATGACGAATACCAAGCACTCAAGGACCAGCCAATAGTTGAGCAAGAAGCTGAGGAGAAGTCATCCATTCTAGCTCAAGAGAATTATATAGAAAATGTTGCACCTCTTCTCAAGCAACTCACTGAAGACGTTGAGGGAAATTCATACTTGAAGGATCAGGATGTGACAATAGCTACTAAAGAATTCGAAACCGAGGAAGAATCTACTACAGAAGAAGAATCCAAAGTTGAAGAATATTTTGAAGTACGAGAAAAGCAAGAAGATGGAACATATAGGGAATAGACCCCCTCTCCAATGGCAATTACCCTCTTACATTCTCATGATGAAACACTTGAATTAGAGGATTATAAAAATGAAGAAGATGCAGATTATAAGGAGCTAGAGATGAGATCTTCAAATGAAGAAGAATGTGAGGAAGCTAATCTTGTGAATTCAATTGAGTCATGCAACGAAAGAAGCACTAACACTCCTGGCCCTATGGTAGACATACAAGTTGAGCAAGCTCATATTGATGTTGAGACTAATGCGAAACAAGTGCCAATGACCTTATTAGAGAAAATGGAAATAAGGCATATAAGATCCGCAAAGATTACTCTACAATTGCCTAATCGTTTTGTTCAAGTGTTGGTTAATATTGCTGAAAATGTACTAGTGAAGGTGGGAAACTTTGGGTACAGAGAAAATTTTGCAGCCACTACTAGAAAATTCACAATAAGCAAGGGAAAAATTCCCTTGCAAAACAGCCAAATTCCCTTGCAGAAACTGTTTGCGACGGAATTTGCGAGGGAACACCGTCCCTTGCTAAAACCCTCGTCGCAAATAAATTTGCAAGGGAAATTTGTCATATGACAATTCCTTCGCAAATTGCTACGGAAAAATTCCCTTGCAAAAAAGTAAATTTCCCTCGCAAACAACAGACCTATCTACAGTGCTTTTCCGTCGCAGATTGTGACGAAAATTTCGAGTATAATTTCTCTCGCAAATTTCCGTAGCAGAATTTGCAAAGGGTGTATTAAATTTCCGTTGCAAAATTTGCAAGGGAACATTTTGATTTTCCCTCGCAAAATGCTACGAATTTTGCAAGGGAATATTTTGATTTTCCCTCGCAAAATGCTACGAATTTTGTAGGGGAACATTTTGATTTTCCCTCGCAAAAAGTTACAAATTTTGCAAGGGAATTTTGAAATTTTCCGCCACAAATTCTGGAAATAAAATAAAAAAATAAAAAAATGTATTAAACTTTTGTTAATTTCCCTGTAAACAATAAGGATTCCAAATGAACATAAATACATAAATTGAGCAACAAAAATCCAAGAAAATACTGGATAAACAATTAAATTAAAATTAAATAGTATATCAACAAAAGTGAACAACAACAACCATCAAATCTACAACTAAAATGTCTTTAAAGTTGTAAACAAAATAAAACATACAAAAAATATATGATATATCTCTGAAGTCCAAAAAGAAGTAAAACATACAAACAACAACTAGTATGCCTCTAACGTCCTAGCAAAGTCATCATCATCATCAGGGTCATCATCCGGCGCCGGTCCCTTCGACTTGTTGCAGTTGGCTTCCTTGTACTGCATTAAAAGTCGGAGTTGTTCCTGCATTTGTTTCATAATGTC